CTAAGCCACATGCATTTTATGTTTTCCTGAAGAAAGACTCTGCTTGTTGGTCTGAGGGTTAAGGAGTCTCAGCAAGTTTTTTTATAGAGACACTAAAACATTCTTTTCAGATTTTCCTCTGTCACTGAGAGAAGCCCAGGGGATAAAAATCACACTTACGTGTCTGCTGGGCCAGTTAGCTCTTGTGAGAGGTGATGGGGCTCTGACTATATCCTGGCACACCCTTAGCTCTCCAGCTTCCTGGATATATTGCAAATGCGTGTGTGTATGTGTGTGTGTGTCTGTCTGCACCTATGTGCACGCTCATATATATATATATAAACTTCAGTTGACACGTGGACACCAAACTCAGAAAAGTGAATGTGTGCATTTCAGGATTTCTTACTTTGTCTAGATAATGCAGAATGTACACTCTTTTCATCCTTACCAGTACATAACTAATTTGATCAGGAGGACAAAATAAACCCCATGCAAATCATGAAGTGTGGGAGACACAAAGGTGAGGGGCAAGTAACAACAATCCCCAGACTATCAGGCAACAGATCTTTTTTGCTTTGCTCAAAAACATTTTTTAAGGAGAAAACTAAAGCATTTGCTGTACTTTCGTGAGAATGATTTGGGATGTTCATTGGAGCAAAAAGGCCATTTATGAACTGACTGCAGCCTTGCTTTGGCCTGCCATAGCCTACTGTGTTTATCTCAGAACCCGAGATTCACACCGACTGAGTAATAACAGAGAAGAAAACCTGTAGTCATTGCAATTTGCATTTGCCATTGCAATTTTCCTTTATCTGCTGAATTTAAATTAATTGTTTCTTTTCTAGAAAAATGCATTTATTTTTAGCTTTCATGCTTATGCTTCTTCATAGAAGTCTCACTACTATCTTTAAGACATTTCACCTTCTTCACAAACTTGTAATTTGCTCATTCATAATTAACAGTTTCCTATATTTTCATGTTCCTTAAATTTCAGCCATAAAAAGCACACATAATTATACTAAATGGAGACACTGGAATATTGTTATATCAAAAGTATCTAACAGCATTACTAGATTTAGAATGTCAGAATATTCCTTTTTTTCCATGTTTCTGTTTCTATGCTTGTAGGAATGTACATCAGACTCTTTTGGTTTTGTTTTTGGTTATCTAATCGTAATTTATGATTAGATTAAGAATCAACCGGTTAAATGAGTATGAGGATAGATTCAGAAGTGAATAATGAAATTATTCTTATGCCAATAGGAAAAATCTGCCAAGTGTCTTCTTTTAAAGACCTTCAAGGAAAACTAGTATTTCATTATAATTGTCACTTAATATCTTTCAAGAAAAGAATGTGGAGACCTAAGTTAATCTTTTATTTTCTAACTAAATAGAGCATATCACATGCATGACCAAGTTATTGACCCCTTGATGCAGGATGCTCTTTGGGAACTACGCAAATGTGTAAAAAAGTAAAAATCTGTTGCTTGAATGGAATCAATGACAGTGTTGATTCTACTCAGCCTGATGAAGCAGCGCCACCTACTGCACACAAGCTTTATTTTATGTTAGGGAATTCGTTAGCAGAAACTTCTCCACAAAGCTAAGCACAAAACACAGTCAGGTTTCAGTCTGTTATCTTTCAAGATCTACGTCTGGGTCAATTTACTGAATTTTTTTTCCCTAGTGTTTTTCTGTGTGTCTGTGTGTATTAGTAGACTCATTCATATTTAGAACAACAGTCAAATAAGAGTGAGAGAGAATGGGAGAGAAAAATATGCAAATATGAAAAAATATAGGAATATAGGATATTCGTTCTTGGTACCTATTGATGTATGTCTCTTATTGTGAAAGTGAGTCCAAAGTACCTGTTTACCCTTCTACATATACCAAGGACATAAGAATTAACAGTTAACCAATGCTTGTTTAAATAGAACCATCGTTCACATTTTATCCTGGCTACTTGTAAGTGTATTCTTTATTAAATGATTATAGATTAATAGGCCTTCATTGAATCTCCTTTCTCTGTTTTTTATTCCTATAATAACACTTAAGTCCACAATATTTTCAAAATAATAATTCCTAGTGTTACTAGTGTATTTTACAGTATAGCATTATATAGGCATTTACATAGTGTATTAATAAAAGTGTATCTTTTTATTACATTGGGGCCATTAATTATCCTTTCAACCATTTTGGTTTATTTCACCTAGTCTATTACACCACAACATAAAATAAATAAGTGACAGTATACATGGTACAATAGTGATTAGGATTATTTTTATTGTTCCCTATCACTCTTTCAAGGTCTTAACTGGTTCTTGACCACTCACATCACTCACAATGATGCTTATGCTTTCATGCTGAGAAGATTATGTCATTTCAGATCCTGCTTCATAATTAATTTTGCAGTGTGCACTCATTCATATTAAATCATATTTGCCATCCTATG